GTGGTGGTTTTTTTTGAAATGCGTTGATTTGTTTGAGATGGTATTGCTGTCGAGAGGTGGTGGTGGTTATGGTGGTGATGCTGCCGCTGGAGGGAGTGGTGATGTGGTGATCACGAGTGTTGGTTGTGATCACAAATTATTTGATTGATTGTAACCATCAAAATTGGTTAATCTACTACCAATAAATAATATGTGAGCAATGAAAAAGATAAATTGTGACAAAAAAATAATGCGTGGCCTAAAAATTTGTTAATTCGTGATTGATAATTTGAAAATTTGTGATTGTCTGATAAGTTGTGACTTATAATATTTGTGATTTGTGATCAATAAATAAGTTGTGACGTTTCAATTTTTGATTTGTAATCGATGAACAAATTGTGACCTATAAATTTTTTGAATTGTGACGTTAAAATAATTTGTGATATATAAAATTTGTGATTTGTAACCAATGAATAATATATAACTTATTAATTTAATAAATTTGTCATTGATGAAAAAATTGTGACCTATAAAATTTTCTATTTGTGATTGTGAAATAATTTGTGACCTATGAAATTTTATACTGTGACCAAGAAATAATTTGTGATCAAATTACATGAAATTTGTGACCAATATATTTAATTAATAAAATACATGTTTAATTAATTAAATAAAATTTAAAAAAATATGACATTTGAAATTTTAAACCTCAAGTTCTTAAAATTGAAATGGGTGAAATTTAGGGGGTGTTTGTTTTTGATTTGAGAAAATCAATTCTCATTTTCAACCACACATTTTTCAATAAAATAATATTTTTATCACATCAATAATTTTTTCTTCTTTTTCAACCACACATTTCCCATCATATCACTATTCAAAAATCAATTATTATTCCCCTAAAAATTCTTACCGAACAAGTACTTAACCTCTTGCTTATGAATTTTTCATTATATAGATTGTGTGCATAAGGGGGCGGGGGCCCATGAAGTCCAGTTCTGACATTTGCCCGCACTGAATTTCGTGACCCAGTTCATTTTTTTAAGGATTGGGCTTTCTATTTATTTATGCCCATATTCTAATTTGCCTCAGCCCAAAACGAAAACATTGAACCCAACCCAATTCCCCAAATCAAAACCTAACACTTCATCCTCCTCTCTATCTCTCTCGACGGCTCTCTGGCTTTGTGACTCTTTCACTGTCAAAGTTTCTGCATGCTCGTCTTTCGTACGGTTCCAGCACTCAGTGTCATGGCACCATCGGCAGAAGAAGGTATAAGTGCTGATTTGATTTTCTGCCAATTAGTAAAAGTTAGTAGAAAGGGAAAATGGGGGAAAGGCAGTAAAAGTTACTAGTTAGTATTGATTTCTGTTAATTAGTTAAAAGTTAAACTTTATAGTATTAGAATTTTTAAAAGTGATTCAGACATCTCGTCTAGAGGCTAAAGCTGCTCTGGACTTTGCATAACTGTGTGTGTTGTTTGTATTTATTTTCTGCTCTGGACTCCATTGAAAGTGGGAGTTTTCTTTTTGGCCATGTCAAACATACAATCCCCGCTAAAGACCCTTAAGAAGACATTAATACCTTTCAATTACGAAACAAAAACAAACCCTTACCATTTAAAATTTCAAAATTAGAGTACTTTGTTTATCTATTTTCTCCAACACAGATAATGAATCTTTCATTTTTCATCTTCTTCAGTATTAAAACCTAAAAAATTCATCAAAAGTTCAACGGAAATATCTCGTTTATGTTTAGTATTTCGAATCGACAAGTATTAAATACTTATAATTAATATTTTTTCATTAAACTTGTGTACTTTTTAATTGTTAAATCTTATTTAGACAAATGTTAATACGTAGATATATTCTACATTTTATTGGACAAATCTATAATTTTTTTAAGCAAAATCAAGAAAAAGATCCATCTGCTTAGATGTCCGACGGCCCAAATGATCGCCATTTAACGGACAACTAGGCATTCCGTGAGGCTTAGACCCTTTACAGGCCAATTTTTAATCAAACTTCTTTTTTTTTTAATTTTGACTTTTAATGTAGATATGGAATCAGTACGCGTTCCAGTTTATTACTTTGGTGAATTTCAAATGAATGAAAATGGTCGATGGTCATGGAAATGGACGGGTGATGGAGATGGTGTTTCTGAAATTTTGTTGACATTGGTTACATCATATATGGACATGTATCGTGATTTACAGAACCTCCTCAACATTGATCCCTCTCAATACGATATGGATTTGAGAATTCTATTTGGCGAACATTCATCTATTCCGATTCCACCTATGATGATTAATTCAGAATATAATATGAAGTGTTTAATTCTTCTGAACAAAGGCCAAACGACTCCTCTTCATGTAACATTAGTGAGGAAGAATATCCTCGAAAGTGAACACGAAGAATCCGATGCTCGTAAGGATGCCATAGTTATTTCTGAGAAAGTTGCTACACACCATGATTTCACTGTTACGCACAAACCTCTCGAGGTAGTTCAAGATAATGAGGAGGAAATTTCTTTTGTAAACCAGGATCTAATTGCTTTATCTAGTCAGGGGCATGAACAGGGTGAGAACTCACACGCTGGGTCAAGTACATGGTCTTCTAATGAGGAGGAAATTTCATTTGTAAACCAGGATCTGATCGCTTTATCTAGTCAGGGGCATGAAAGGGGTGAGAACTCACAGGCTGGGTCAAGTACATGGCCTTCTAATTCTTCGCGTGTGGTTCCCGATGATGAAGATTTGCAAGTCGAGCAATTCTTTTACACGAAGAGAGATCTCCAGGAAGCTGTGCACATGATTGCACTGAAACACAACTTCGAGTTCAAAGTGAAGAAATCAGACAAGACTACCTATACAATTGTTTGTGTAGATAATAATTGTAGTTGGCGTTTGCGAGCAACAAAAATGAACACAAATGAATTCTTTGTAGTTCGCAAGTATGCACGAGAACATACTTGCCAAATGGGTATTTGTCGAAATGATCACAAACAAGCCCGATCATGGTTTATTGGCCGACAAATAATGCACAAGTTTCAGGACCCAAGAACGATTTACAGACCTGTAGACATCATTAACGATGTTCGTCGAGAGTACGGGATAGTCATGAGCTACCAGAAAGCCCGAAAGGCTAAAGAATGCGGGTTGGAGGATTTAAGTGCAGCAGGAAAGCCATCTACTGGAGAGTTTCCTCGGTGTCGTAAGTGCGGCATTAGCGGCGTAACAGGGCATACTCGTCAGTTTTGTACTAGTCAGGCTCCCCTTCCTAACAGTTCCACAAATGTATAATTTATGTTTAAATTACGTGTTATCTTTATTATTTAAATATAGTACTTCAGTTTTGTACTTTACTTTTATATTATTTTTATCTATATCTACAGCTTTAATATTTAGTCTCTATTTGATAAGGATTAAAATTAAAATTTTAATCTAATTCAAAGTCAATAATTAATTTTAGGGAGATGCGTCATGTACATAAAGGTGTACAAATATCATTTTCTTTAATTTTAATCACATATTTCATGGGATTCACAACTTTTCTATTACATATTTTTCATCAATTTTTATGAAAATTTGCTAAAATCTCTGCAGCACGGACACTTCAATTGGGGTAGCGTGTCCATGTCCGACACGTGTCGAACACGAGTCGATATCGACACTTTTCGGACACTCTACCCTAATCATTTTTCTTTTTATATTAGAAATATTATATATTGTTAATTCAAAGTTATTAGCAAGTAACAAATAGATACTCATGTTTAAAAGATTTCAATAAGAAAAAGTATATTACTAAATTTATACTATATAAATGAAGATTTTTTAAGAATTTAATCAACGTGTTGTATCTGTACTTTTTTTAAAAATCGCGTGTCGGCATATTCGACACGTATCGTGTCGGACACAAGTGTTCGTATCGGTGCATCATAGGCTAAAATTCAGATTTTAATCTCCAACAAACAGGGGCTTCAAAAAGAAGGAAAAATTTCAATTTACATGTGAAATTATTTTATGGGGAATGTGTAGTTGAAAATGAGTTTTGAAAAAATGGGGGCCAAACACAGGCTTAATACCATTACATTTTGAATTAAAAAGAAAATGTTTCAAAATAACAACAAATTATTCTGCAAGGTATTTGTTGGTATTTTCAGTCCCAAAATCACAAAAAGAACAACCAAAAACAAACTACAACACAAAGAATTTTCGCCCTAAGGCTCGGATGTTCACCAGTAACGGCTACTCACCCGTTGAGCATACTCCGGAGTGATTATCGCTCTAATCCACTAGAATCCAACAAAGTTATCAAGTACAGATCAGAGACCCAAAAAGAATCACTCGACTCAAACCCTCAGCCCAAATCTCACTATTTCTCTCTTTTACAGATTACACACAGTAACCCAGATCTGTGCTCACCAAGAACACAAGAATCACACCAGAATCGTAATCTATACAAAGATATCACCAAGATTATCTAACCTCAAGATTACAAGATGAAAACCAAAGGTTTTCATCGACAGAGAGAAAATTACAGAGAGAGGAATATCGAGAGAAAACCCTAGAAAAATGAACTGATGTATCAAACAATGGAAGAGTCTCGAATATGTATAGTCACCATGCATCCAGCGGTTCAGCCATAGCCACGTGTCACAATCTCAGCCATTTGCTTAACAAACCAAAGTCGCATAACCAGAAAACGCGAGATTACACATGTGGGCCAATAACCGGGTCACACTCAAATACAAGTAACAGGCTGTGATAATTGGGCTTCATCATTGGGCCAAACACAATAGATGTTAAGCACCCATATAACAGTATTCTTATGAATTAAATAGTAAATACACAACCTCTTGAACATGCTTACAGACTCCAAACAAAATGTGAACATGGAAATTACATCAAAAGATAACAGTTTTTACCTTGTAATTAATTTAATACTTCTCAAAAAGAAGAAAGGGAAAAGGGAAACTGAGAAACATAGCAAGAAACCTGATTTTTTACAATTTGTATGTAATAATTAAGATTGTTCTTGTGTCTTCTCATGTTCAGGTTCTTCAGGTTCAGGTTCTTCAGGTTCATGTCCTGCCCCTTCCTCCGACTTCTCCTTCTCGACCTCGAGGTCCAACTCCTCGGATGTAGCACTCCTTTTATGCGCAGCAGAATTGATTACATGCTGGTAATTTCCCTTCTCCATGAACAGCTGCTGAAAATGGTGCTTGCAGTATAGAATTCCATCAAGAGCAGCATATGATGAGTGTGTAAGAGGGCAGCCACCATGTGCACACTTGAAGCAGGATTTGTGGTATGATCCTCCCTCCATTGTCATCTGTTTATTGTCACAAATATCCGGGACGAGAATTTCAGTAAATTAACTTGGCATTAGGGTATTTTTGAATATATATATATATTTTTAATTTGTTTTTTATCTGGGATCTTATGAATACAAACCTTCTCGAGTGGGTAAACAGTTTTGTTACAGGCAGAACATTTATCTTGTGTTCCAGAGAACATGGCAGAAACCTTGCTTGGTACCCTTGTCTGCACAAATCATAAGATTTTGCATAACTATTTGCATTGATTTTACAGAGTAAATGGTGCCCAAAAATCATTTATAAAGAAGAATAATGCATACCAAAGCATTCTCCTTCTCTTGCTTTGCTGGTTAAACGTTCACCAAAAAAAAAGGTCGTATTAGATGAAAAACTTGAATGTATAACGACTAAAAATAAATGTCAATAGCCAATGTAGGAAAAATGGCTACTTACAGGTTTGGAAATTCTTGCTAAAATTCCCGGATTCCTTAAAAAGTTGTTCAAAATGAGGCTTGCAGTAGAGGACTCCATCCATGGATGAATAATTGCTCATCTACCAATGCAAAATGAAGTATAAATACATCCTTGAAAAATTGAAATATTTCTCGCAGGAAGATACAGGAAGAACTGAATTTTTCGACCAATACGAGGTATCTAATTCCTAGTATATTCTGTTTGAGGTAAAAATATGACAGAGAGGGGCCTAATTTTGCATGAAATGTGAAGTTTCTAGTTCAAATGACTTGAAATGCATAATAAAAAACATTATCCCTAATGAAAGTTTACACTCTTGTAAGGAGAAAGAGCACACGAGCACGAACACGGCAAAGAAAGTGTGAAAAAGGCATATATACCACAAGTGTCCCTTTGCAGTGGCTGCATTTGAAGCAGGATTTGTGATATGTTGCTCCATCTGCAGACAACAAATCAACAAAATAAACAGTTTTATCACAGGCCTTGCATTTATCCAAAGTTCCTGTGAATGCTGCCATTATATTCTTTTCCTATCCTTTTCAAGATGAAAATCTCAAGAATTTCTCAAGAATTATATGAAATTTTTTTTTCTCTCTTTTTGTTTTTTGGTCTATATCAGCCAACAATAGAATTTCACTTTTTCAGCAATGGTGGAAAAGCTTAATTCTGCTATTGGCAGACACGTGAATGGAGATCCCATTATTATGAAGCTGTGGAGGATTATTAATGCTGTGAAAATTTGGATGTAATCCGCTTAATGTGGAGAGAAAATAGGCTGAAACTTTTACTCATTCCATGGAAAAATGTGAAGAAGAAAAAGTTGAGGGAAAGTATTTTCTTTGATATATATATGTGGTAGTTAATACATATGTAAGTGGTTTGCTGATCTTTTTTCACCTGATTTTTGCATTTTCCTCCCTGAAAATAAGGGTGTAAAACACACAAAGGCCAACTTAATCAACTAATTATTTTTATTAAATTGATTGTGGGTTCGGTTTTCAATTTTGCAAGAGAATATTATCTTACCTTCAAGCTTTGTTTGATCTTGTTGCCGAATGATATTCTTGTAGATGTTCATCTAATATTTGCACGGGCATATTAGATTCCTATTTTGAACGCTTTAATGAGATTATGTGTTTACTCAAAAGCGTAATTATATTCACACCACATTTTTTATTTATTGCACCATGTTTTAATTGTAATTAAGGTCTTAATTTTTGTTCATTATAGCATTTACGTCTATAATATTTTTTCATACCATTCTTATCCTCTTAACTTTTCATTATTTAATATGTTTTGCATTTGATAATAGTTTTATGTTCAAAAGTCCATTGAATTGATGTAAAATAACTTATTTTTTCATCATATTTTTAAAAAATAAATAATAAAAGTGTGAAAAAATATTTTCTTCCTCATTTCCAAGCATGAAAACAAAATATTGTGATATGAATTATCGTCCAAGACGACACGTACTAATTAATGAAAAATTGAAGATGAGAATTTGACTAAAAAAAGTTAAGGAAAAAATTGTTACAATGAGCAAAGATTGGGGAGTTTAACTGCAATTAAAATGTGGTGTATGAAATAAAAATTGTGATGTTAATATAATTACCCTTACTCAAATAACATTATAAACCATATATTTAATTTACTCTTTATTTTTCTCAATTGAAACTTAAGTAGCTCTGATGATAAGTGAAGAAAAAATATTACAATATTGAAGTGCAGTTTTAAACTCAGGATACTTACTAAATATAATTTTAATTACATTTCAATATACGAAGTAAACATTTGTTCGTTTCAAAATTATTTGACACGAACAAGATAAAATATAGAAGATCGAGTACCATATTCTCATACTGTTTGATAATACATTCTAAAAATGATATTACGCAAATGCGTGTACTAACGCAACTCGTTAGATTACGTTTAAAATTCAAATTTAGACAAGAAAATAAGAGGCATATCCGGCAACATTGATTCTAGATGATCTAACAAATCTACTGGGTGGATGTTAGTATTGTGGACAAGAATAATAAGATGGACACCCTAGAGTTCCAAGAGTACATTCAAGGCTTTATCTACAGTGAAAGTAAAACAAAAAAATACCTAGAAAATGGTGCAACATAGAGAGCAGTAGAGTATTTAATGTGAGGAGCAAACGAAAGTATTCATTGTTTATATCATATTCCACAAGGAAGTTTCACAAGAGACAACCACCAATACATCTACATATTTTATATATTAAGGGTTTGTTTGGCATAACTTATTTAAAAATAATTTATCCTCACACTCATTTTCAGCCTCACATTCTCCCCAAAAAATAATTTTATACGTGGACTCATAACTTCACACATTCTCCCAAAACAAAAACAAAAAAAAACTCACTTCAAATATTATCTCCAGAGCAAACGCTAAGACTTTAAGTGCATGTTTGGACTAAAATTGACACGATTTCAACTTTTTTATTTCTTTCTTACTCGTTAGTACTATATAATATACTCCACTATTGAACAAGTCTATGATTTTAAAGAGGAAAACGAAGTTAAAATCTTATATCTTGTACAATCTAGTCTCATCCCATGATAATGCATACCAAACATGCACCAATCCGTTGATTAATCGTAGTCTTTGTACATCCCAAGACAAACAAACACACAGGCATGGAAGGTGTCAAAATAGCACCTATAAAAGTAGAACTTGCACAGAGGTTCCACTTACTATCTGGTGGTCCAGAGATCAAAGATCATGGAAGAAAATGGAACTAGAGCAAGAAGTTTTCGATTTGAAGACTCCAGAACCAGAAGGGTTTTCCTAAGGAGTTATCCACTTCACTGGGGAGATGAATCTGAAGTTGAAGCAAGCAAACAAGCATCTGAAGAAAACAGCAAAGAGGCTATGAAGGTGGTTAGCAGAAAAAATGGAAAGACACCCATTGAGAAGTTAATCCTTGCAGTTTTCCAGTGGGGAGAACAAAGGGTTTTTGTCTTCAGAAGGTTAAAGAATAAGATCACAATTTATGTGCTTAATTGTGCTCCTGTCAAATTCAAAGTTCCTAAGGACCTTCTTTCACTTTAATATCTCTATTGCTTATGAATCTTCCTCTGTCCATGATATAATAAAGGTCTGTTGGCAAGGTTTTTGAAAAGTCAAAAACAACTTTTGAAACTAAGAACTGGCTTTTTGAATCTTTTTGGATAATTTTTTGAAAATACTTCGTGCAGCTAGATGAGCTTTGAGGGGAAGCTGGCCCAAGATAAAATTTCTTCTAAAGAAATAGAAGTCGTATCAAATGGATCCTAAAATCTCTACTTTGAATTTGGGAACTACTGAAAATTTTCTGCCCGGGCAGGTGGACAGAAAAGAACCATAACAGATCTCTTTTTCAAGAAGAACAATGTTAGAATCAAAGACATAACAAGCCTAAGTTGATTTATTGAGATGAGAAAACAAAAGAGACTTAAAAAGAGTTACCAGAAATGCAACAACATAATCGCACAAAAACGTTTTATATTCAAAAACTCGTTTTAATAATATAGAAGTAAAGGAGATGACATTTGTTGCACTCGAAACAGTTCTCCAATTTAGCTTTCAACGACACAAGTCGTTACACTACAACTATAGGGTTAATGTGGTAGTTGGATCTTACTGCTGAGTACACATGCATAGCTATCCTCTTAAGAAGATTATAGAGATACCCATTGCGAAGCATCCCAAAGCCACACCAGGGCTCAATCTCATACCTGTTCAAGGAAACATAGCAATGGCGACAGAGTTTCAAAGCATAAATGGAATTGGCTTGACATTTATTGAAAAAGCATCATATATCCTTTCACTGTTGCAAGTAGATGACCAGCAAGTATTGAGATAACGCCAGTGCCAACTGTTTCTTTGCTTTTTCCTCATAAACCATGAAAAAAGAAATTAAAAAACTGTAACTTGCATATTATTCTTTCATAGAAAAATGTTGCACAAAAAACCCAACTGCCACCAGAGTTTCTCAATCAGCACCAATCACTTCTCAATATTTATTAAACTCCAGATAAACCTCGGTTATTTTACTTTTTACAGGAGAGCAGTCTAAAACAAAAATGCAGATCTTCGAAAAATTTAATCAAAGCATCAAAAGATCGCTATTAGTTCACTACCAGATTCCTCAATTGCCTGGGGTAGTACCTGAGAAAGAGAGGAGCCAGAAAAAAAAATTTAAAAAAAAGTGGAGCATATGAACAACTCGTTAAGCAGACAATATATTATACATTTCACAGTAGAGAGCAAAAGATCGTATTTTGATATCATCCAACTTTTCCTTCTTGAAACCCTGTCCATTCTTTTCTATTAGACTAGTTCCAGCTACTTATTTGCAGATATTGTAAAACGTGCTCTTTTTAGACTTCAAAACCTCCAATATAAACTGTTGTATATAAATTAAACTAATACTAATGAACCATGCACCAAATCCTGCAAGACCAGTGTCTTAAATAAAGCTCTTGTTTGGTTTAGCTAAAAAAGTTAGTAGAAATTTAAGTCAAAGTCAATAATTAATTCTAATAACATAATTCACGGGACCCACAACTTTTATCAACTACGCATTTTATCGATTTTTATTGAAATATACTAAAAATCAAATTTTAGCAAAACCAAATTGGCGCGAAATATTGAAATAAATCATACCTATTCTAGCAGCCCTCCGGAATCTGCCAGCCATATTAGCATCTAATCAGAATGCAGATGAAAGTGTGTTTTGTTCAAGGAAAAAAATACAAATGAACATAAAGGTCAAATGATTCAGAAAAGAGATAAGATAGAGAAGCAAATATAAACTAACATAGTGAAAATAATTTTCTCTGTTGCATGCTGGTAGAGTAATATAAGAAAGCTACAGAAATCATCAGAAAAAATACATAAATACACCAAGACTGCGGATAAATTTAATGACATTATCAATTGGAACCAAGTGGTATGGCTATCAAGGAAACAATCATGTCAAGTAGTTCAGTGTTCAAGTTTGATTAGAAAATTACACAGAGACTCATGACTTCAATGGCACGAGTCATTTTTCAGACTTGGGCCATCTGGAATACTAAACTAGTCACAAGTCACAACTGAATTCTGCTGATAGACAGAACCATAATAAAAATTATATCTGTGATAGAAAATGGTAGAGGTAAATTGGAAAAGATAAATGTACCCCTCGATACGGATGACGCACAGACATAAAAAGAGTCAAGGCCAAAAGCTATTATTTTGGCTGCTATTTTGCATTCCCCCATTTTGAGCAGGAAACTAAAGTGAGTAAAATTTGGCTGATTACTTTTTTTACAATTTATATCATATCATATGCCTTTCATGGTTTTCTCCAGCTCGCCTTAATCCAATGGGGAAAAAATCATTCTGGTCTTTTGTTTCATACTTCGGAAACAAAAACAAATGAATTGTTTTTTTTTTTTAATATTAAAAACTCCAGCTCTCCTTTGTCTCACTTTTTTCCCCTCAAACAAGAAAACAGAGGTGCAGATGTATCAATTGAAGACTTGCTTCTCATTCCATTCAAGTGACAATAATTCCCAGCCCGTGTCTTCCAAATATTACTAATATCTTACTCAATACACTAATTACAGATTGTCTTTGTAGAAATGCGACCATTTCTCATAGCAGTTGCATAGATGCAACAAATGAGAATGAATTGCACTCATAACTACAAAAGGGAGAACTTACTAACCTCATTTCTAAAAGCTAAAAGTACTTAATCTTGTCCTGCTCGACTGTAAGGTGCATTTTAGAAAACTTGACTGGCGTTTAAGGTTGTTTTACATCAGACAATCTCAGTGTTTAAAGACAGTGATGACAGAACAGTAATGAAGTGGTGGTTGTTCGATCTACAAAGAAATTTATTGAAGTTGACATTTTCAGAATGCATATACATTCTCATAAAGTTTTCACTAAATAATTAAATAGGAACGAGAAATCATCTCCAGTGACCATTTATCAAATTCTGTCAGTAAAATCTTTTGAAGATACATAAAATAAGGTATAGTCGTAGAGAAAATCATTCGTGTTAATGAACAAAATTTTGCATTATATACAAATATCAGTGCAGAAACTTGAATTTGCACGTTATGGAATAATATAACAACAAAGACAAACCCAGATCTCTGGTCAATGAGTGCTGGAAAAAGCATTTCCAAATAAGTGCAGGTACAAATGCCTAATATCAGCACTGTGAGGAAAGAATGGAAATTGAAGAAGCTGACTGATTATCCAACAGAATAATATTAGTAAGAACATTTATTGGTTAACAAAAAAAGAAAATCGAAATTATCGATGACTAAACACGAGGCAATTTATCGTACCATGTCTAAATTTTGGTTGCTATAACTCTCCCTCTTCCTGTGCGTCTACAAAAAGGGAAGCATTTTTCACTTCATGCAATCTCATACAGAAAATATTGGATTAGTTTCCTACATGCACAATGTGAATAATGTATAACTACCACGCTGCAATAAAACATTAGACTCAATGAAACAAGAAAAATAAGGAATATTGATATTATTTCATCTATTTCCCTAAAAAGTGTACCCATCAATGACTATGAGTCAAGATTTATTGTCCCCATTTGGCGGTCTCGTTGTGGTCGCCCAACAAAAATGTTGTCTCCTTACTAGGCCAACTCCTT